TCGAGCCTCGTGGGTGAGCAGCTTTGGGGGGGCACAGAGAGCGAGCCTGTCCCCTCCGGCCTCCAGCCCTGGTGCTGGCCCTCTCCCTGCCCAGAAACGTCCTCTGGTCTGTTTTCCCCAAACAGGGCACTTTCATCTGCTTTTCAAAACCTGCTCAGGCGGAGGTCCTTTCCCCGCAAGGACCCTAGTGGCGTCTGGAGCTACTCTGCCGCCACCTTGACATTTTCAAAGCCAGACCTCTTCCTGAAACTATCAGACCATCGTTTGCTGGCATGAAGCCCCCCAACTTTAGATCCTTCCCTTTCAGTTGCCATCACAGGGCTGTTCCTTTCTCAGCTCGTGTCGGTCTAGAGGCGTGCCTGTCTTATCACAACGCTGCAGCTGCAGAGACGGCTGCATCTTTAATACGAGGCAGCGCGCAGAAAGGCATTTCGCAGAACGTGCTCGGTCTTCTTGCCTGCTGACATCGCCGCAGCTGTGGCTTCGGGAATTTTTTTTTTGTTTTTACAGTGGTAATTTTTCTGGATTCATTTATCTTGAGATGGTGGGCAACCACCACGGCGACAGACCACAACCTAAGGTACCCGTCAAGCATCTCCTCTTTTTCTTGGACTAGCATGACTTTTCCCTGCGTCTTGGGGGTACTCTCGCCACCACCGGCAGCCTTTCTTATGCGTCCCACAGTGTCATTCACAGTGCACAATACACACGATGAAAAACATGTGGGAATCACGACACCACTTGCCACTGAGGCCCAGCTACCAGCTAGACGGACGGCTCACACGCGGTGACGCGCGTCGCTGGCCTTCTCTGCAGACGCCACACAGGCGACAGCCGCCGGACAGGCTGCGGCGCTCCCGCAGTAGGTCCCCGGTTAATTCACGCAGCTCTGTTTCCAGCCCTGCTAAAGCGACTCCCACGCTGTCGGGTCAGCCCCTATGCGACAGTTTCTCTGCTGTAGTTGTGGCCAGCCCTCCTAGTCAGCTTGAGGGTCAACACCACCCACTGACGTGCCAACAGCAAGCCAGGTTCAACTGCAAGAGGGGAGCACCCATAACCCACACGAGGGACACAGCCGGAGCACCCAGCACAGGTGACCAGGGAGACTGTGCCACTGGGCCTCAGAGATGACCACTGCCCAGGGCCACCCTGCCACGACAGGTAGACGTAGCCATTCTACCTAATACCCAGAAACAAACATGGGGAGGCAGCCGAAAGGAGGAGACAAAGAAATATACAGTTGCATTGTGACATTCATAACCTGCCTGTCTTTTTCCATATACACAACTATAAACCTACATTTGCCCACCCCTGTACAGTGGAATATTACTCAGCCATAAAAAAGAATGAAATTTTGCCATTTGCGCCAACACGGATGGACCTAGAAGGTATTATGCTAAGTGAAATAAGTTAGAGAAAGACAAATACCACATGATTTCATTTAATTTAGAGAACAAAATAAACAGCAACAGACTCGTAGATACAGTAAGCAAATTGATGGTCACCAGCTAGGAAGGGGGTGGTGGGTGGAGGTGAAATGTCAAAGGGACTAAGAAATACAAACTGCCAGTTACAGAAAGTGTTAGGGATGTACAATGCAGCACAGGGAATACAGTCAACAATATTGTAGTAAGTATGTTTGGTGTCGATAGATGTATTGGGGTGATCACTTTGTAAGTCATATAAGTGTCTGATCACTATGCTGTACACTTGAAACTAATGTAATATTGTGTGTCACCTGTAATTGAACTAAGGGCCTGAGAGAGAGAGAGAGACAAGATTCACTGTAATTATATGAAGGAAAGAGAATTGAGAATTTTGAAACGTTTTTCTACCTCAACATTGACTGAAACTAAGAGCATCTAATGATTATGTAATTCTTACCCTCATCATACCTTCATTCGCTTTCATGCCTGTTCATTCCTTGTATCTTCTTGTACCCAACTGGACGTTTAACACCTCCCCCAGCTTCGCGCCCCAGTATGTGTGACAGATTTCTCACTGTCGCCGCCTCCCCCGCCCGACCATCACGATTCTGTCTGGCGTCTCAATGACGAGTCTCGTTGGGTCCCACTTGCCTCCTGTTGCAGTGACTCTTCTCTTTGGGGAACCATGTAAGGAGCCTCAGAGACAAGACTTACACCTAAATCTAAAACTGTTGTATTTATTGATTTATATGCCTGAAAGCTTCCTGATGTGTCTCTCCCCGAACAAGCAGTTGTAAAGCCGTTACCTGCCGTGGCGGCAGGAGGGTCAGAGTGTGACGGAGGTGCACAGGTTGAGGCAGGCTGGGGGGTGGTCTCACCCCCGATTAATGCATTTTATTCCCTTGACCACAGACACGCTGTTTTGCGTGTCTGAGACAGCCGTCGTATATAAAAACCCCGCACAGACCTGCTGTGAGGGTGCAACAGTGTGCCCCCTGTGGAGGGCAGTGCTCACCTTACTGCCTCTTCTCTCTCCCATCCATCTGGAGTTCACGTGCCTCCGCATGTGTTTCGTGTGCCTCCTACTTCGCTTGTTTACTAACCTTGTTCTTTGTTTTTCTTTTTTTAAGTTTATTGATTTAATGACAGAGGAAGGGAGAGAGAGAGAGAAACATTGATCGGCTGCCTCCTGCACCCCCCCGAGTGGGAATCGAACCTGTAACCCGGGCGTGTGCCCCGACTGGGAATAGAACCGGGACCTCTCAGTCCATGGGGTGTTGCTCGGTCCCCTGAGCTACACCAGCCGGGCTGTTCATTTTTCTTTGAACAAAGGGGAAAGCAATGTCTCCACTTGCTGTGTTCGTGGAATTTTGAATTAATGTTATCACAGTGAGAGGTCCTCTGCTCACCTAGAGCCCAGCACCCTGCAGGCTCTGCCTACATCATCCCCCCACCTGTTCCCCCCTGGCGTCCATCCCGTGAGCACTGACGTTGTGTCATCACCACGGGCAGCGAGGCTGTTAGCCAAAGTTACTGGCCCGGGATCACGCACGGAACGTGCACAAAGGCTGGGCTGTTGCCGAGGGCCTTGACCCCAAGCCCGATGCCGGTGTCAGGGCCACGCCGGGATGTGCCGGGGGTTAACGGAGCTGTCACTCTCGTTGACCTTGACAACCACAGGTTTGGGGGTGGAAGGGAGAATTCTCAGGAGACAAGAAGGGAGAGTGGGGCATCCACTTAGCAGGGAAGGGGCGTGGGCCAGACGGCCCTGGGTCAGAGGATGACTGCCCTGTAACAAGCGGCTGAGCTCCGAGGCTGCCGTGATGATGAAGCCAGACGAGAACGTGGTGGGAACAGGCGTGTGTCCGCCATGGCAACAGGAGAAGGTGGGCCGAGAGCTCAGGGATGCATCCGTTTCTAAGCCGTGGGGTGTCAGGAAAGCTTTTGCGTGAGCCATGGGTCAGGGTGAGACGGGAAAAGAAAGGAGAGTGTCCCCGGAAAAGTTGGTTTCACAGCTATTTCCGAAGAGCTGTGCTGGAACGTTCTCACCAGTCACCTCCCTCCTGCTGTCCAAGAACGCAGGCAAACACTAAAGAGAGCGTCTGTTGTTCACTGAAGAAAAGAAAATCATTTTTTAAAATACCAAGTACTCAGAGGTTGGTTTTTAAAAGCAGGGTAAGGCGGAGGCCGGAGCCTATCTTACCCCCTGACCATTGATCGCATTCAGTTGCGCTCAGTTCCACTGACACCCTTCCGTGGTGGGTTTTATATTTTTATTTTCAAATGTATTCTTCATTGCCAAAGTAACACCTTGCACGGTACTTTAAATATAAGTATTTCAAACTTCTTTTACAGCTGGGAGTAGTGCCCTTGGGGCCTTTCAGATCTTCCTGAAAAACTTCGGCTGATGTGAAAAAAATTGTTTAAAAAGATATATTATTTGTAGGCAGATAATTAGTGAAAATTCATTAATGTATATATTTTTAAATTCCAAAATTTTTGAGTTGCTTTATTATTATTATTTTTTTCTTTATTGATGTCAGAAAGAGAGGAAGGGAGAGAAGGAAACATCGACGAGAGAGGCATCGATTGGCTGCCTCCTGCGTGCCCCCCACGGGGGATGGGCCCACAACCTGGGCATGTGCTCTGACCGGGAATCGAACCGGTGACTTCTTGGCACATGGGTCGGTGCTCAACCAGTGAGCCACACCGGCTGGGCGAGTTCCTTCATCTCATCCAGGGGCCATGACGTGTGGAGCACCCCAAGGTCCCCAGGCGTGCGTTCGCCGTAGCCAGAGCAGGGCCGGCACCCGGTGAGCGCATGGCCGGGCGCTGGTTCTGTGTTGCTCTCCAGTGCAACCGTGCGCCTTATCGCCTAATTATTTTGATATAAGAAGCAAAATTTCTAATGCTCAAGGGATGTTTGATTTCTTACATCGATCTTTAGTTAAGGCTGAAAATCTCACCACCTATATCCTCTCGCTTGGTGTAATGCATAAAGACCCTCAAGTTCAGCATTTCCTAAGCGTGGGACTTCCTGCTACAGAGACGCTTCGAATCTTTGGATATAGTCTGGCAAGCCCGGCTGCGTGAACAGCTGAGTTTCCGAGACAAATACGAGGCATTTCTTCAGAGAACCTGACCGAATGCCGTAATCCATTTCCTTCTGAAATTGCAGCTGCGAAATTATACCCCAAACATTGATAAATGTCACTTTGCCTTCCCAGCAATTAAGGAGTTCAGAGAAGTCCCTTTGTGTGTCCTAGCTCTGAAATGATCGTATTTATCCTGAACTGGCCCTTCACTTGGCTGTATCAAGCATGACTGGGGAGGTGATGTTCAAGAGGGAGGCATCGGGTCCGAACAGGTGTGGAAAACGAGGTCTTTTGATGCGCTGGAGTGTTCTGCTGTAAAGGCAGTTTAGCAATGAAACCCATCAGCTGCTGTGAATTCCCATGTAAGTAGGCAGCTGGTGCATCGCCCTCTCTAGGAGAGCGAGGCTGAGCACAGATGGGGGCTGGATCAGTGTCTGGGTTTCACTGAAACTTCTCCTTTGCTGTCTCCTTATTCCAGTCCTGATCCTCCTGATCGTCACCATGAGAAGACGGAAGAAAGAACCCCTCATTTTCGACGAGGAGAGAGACATCCGAGAAAATATCGTGCGCTATGATGACGAGGGTGGGGGAGAGGAGGACACAGAGGCCTTCGACATGACGGCCCTGAGAAATCTCAATGTCATCAGGGACACCAAGACCCGGAGGGACGTGACCCCAGAAATCCAGTTCTTGAGTCGGCCGACTTTTAAAAGCATCCCAGATAATGTCATTTTTCGGGAATTTATTTGGGAGAGACTGAAAGAGGCCGACATTGACCCCTGTGCGCCCCCCTATGACTCCCTGCAGACATACGCATTCGAAGGCAATGGCTCGGTAGCGGAGTCCCTCAGCTCCCTGGAGTCCGTCAGCTCGAACTCGGACCAGAACTATGACTACCTGAGTGACTGGGGGCCCCGCTTCAAACGCCTGGCGGACATGTACGGAACCGGCCGGGAGAGTGTGTACTCATAGCCCTGGAGCGTTCGCTGGACGTGCACTGGAGCCCAAGTCCGAGCCAAACCAACAACAAAGACCGTGCAGAAAATAAGGACTCTGCTCGCTAGGGGAAATGGTTGTAAATATGTCTCCATTTTTAACTGGGTTTCTGCCCTGGTGACGCATATGCCCATTAGATGGACCCAAGGGAGCGCACTGACCGCAGACTGAGCGTTTGAAGGCTTTTTGATACAAAGAACAGCTCAGTGATTTGTGAATAGATAGCAACTCTCAGATACCTGCAGAGGCACCTAACCTATGAGTCAGGAGTGCCCTGTGTCGCCAGGGAGCCGAGGACGCCCTGCACACACCTTCATGGTGCTGCTCGTGAGAACACGAGGTGGCGCCGATAAGTCCTGCAACTTCTTGCATATCCAAACTCGGGACAGATTTCATTTCCAGTGATGCTTTAAGCTTGCTAGATTAGAGAATCCAGCAGAATTTTATTGCTCTGAGTTAGCAAATACATTTTATTTAGCGAAACATAAATTCATAGAAAATCCTCCCCAATCCTCCAATACAAGCCAATGAAATTGGGTTTCAAGCAACATAAACCATTGTTTAGCAAATAAATATGAAGTGTTCCAAATGAGAAAAAGGTGAATCATTCTTCAAGTGTGCAGTCGTTTTGAGATGCTTGTGTAGGTATAAAAAAAGTTGCTGTCTATTCGTTGATTTTTTTTTTTTTTTTTATCTCTTCTGATTTGTACAGGAGAATATCTTTCCTTTTTTTTTTTTTTTTTTTTTGATGCCCTGTCATATTTATTTTGAAGCTCCAATCTCCACTAAATGCAGGTCTATCTTACTGCCTCATAGCACTGAGCTCGTCAGACATGCTGATTCCTCTCCGGTCTGAGCTGCGTGAAGGAAACGGAGCGTGGAAATGGAGAGAAAGGAGCCGTTGAGCCCCGTTGGCAGCTGACGTGTCCAAGCGGAGCCCAGCTATGAGGACATATGAGGTGTCGGTCTGAGCCGCTGGCATGTACAGAGCATTGGAATAAAATATGTGTACTTTAGAAAGAAGATTTCAGAGAGAATTGAGATTTCCTTTGGTGCAAGATTTATTTTTCAAGGTCACAGGTTCTGTCTTCCCCCAAAGACTTGCAGATGTGTTTTATCCCAACCTCTTTTGCTGTAAACGTAGGGAGTAAAATAACGTTTTTTTAAATGTATCTCAAGCAATGTAAGGTTATACATTTCAAACCCCCCATTAAATTCCAACACACACACACGTTCCACAGGACTCGACCTCGCAATGTATGATTTCTATCTTGGTTTAGACGTGCCAAAGTGAGGAGAGCCATCCCAAGGGATCACGTATGTTGAAGTTTTTGATGGGCTTCCTAACAAAGAAGCAGTTCATGACTAAATTAATGTTTCTTCCTACCATCTTGTTCCTATAACAGTACTCGTTTAATGTGCATATATGCAAGCAAGAGTGGATTTTTTTTTTTCTTTTTTCTTTTCTCCTTTTGGAAAGAGTCATTGTTGGGTTCCTAAGAAATCTATGGATAGGGGCGTGGACACTGTATAAGAAATTATGCTCTAAAAGTGCTTCTTTCTGAAAGACAGACACTGGAACTAGAATATCAACACGTGGATGACCCAGGAGGAACTACGTCGGGTGGTGTAACCCTTGCAGCCCACCGTGAGCAATGATGTGGAAGTGGCCTTCAGCTTCATTAAAATAAATCATCCAGTAAATTGGATTATCTGCAAAGGGTTCTTTCATTTGAATCAAGTTTTGTAGACACTGTTTCATGACTAGATAGAGATGCTTCCTGCTGTATTACTATACGTATATATGAAAACCCAGTTTTATGACAGAGTAAGAGATACTGTTCATGACTTTGAGTCACGTATGTAAGTTTTTCCAATAAAAACAAGCTAGTACACGTCTACTCTTCTCAATAAAATCACAGTGTGGTGTAGGAATTGTGTAGGTACTGAATCAGCGAGGTGCTGAGAAGACAGTTTTGTAATTTTCCCCTTGTTGTCCGCAAGAAGGTGACATAGTTGAGTACATTTGGGTTACGATGTCAAAACTGCTCGTTGTCACACAGACTGCTTGATGGGGGTTTGAATGTGTTTTGGAAAAGGAATATCACATTATTCACCTTGCTTTCTTTCCTTTTAAAGAATATATTTTCTTGGTTTTTTTCATATTTGCCAGTAATATATTGGGAAAAGACTCAAATTTAAATAAAGATGTAAAATTCTTGCATATACCCAATTGCCATTTTATGTGTGAAAGATTATATCAATACGGTGTTGAACGTAATTCAGTGGTATTTTTAAAAGAATGTTTGAGATGACTGGGAAAATGATGGAATTGAGATGAAGTACTCTAGCTAAATTTAACTATAATGATGGTGAGTTTATTTTAGTGTCCCTTTTCTTTAGATATCTGATGCCATATACGATTATCTGGTGTGATAGTTGAGAGATGGGCTGTGTTTTGGAACCACAGACTGGAACAGTTGACTGATAAAAAGAATCAATCATAAAACAAGTCAGGAGCTTCAGCAGAAACACTTAAGTAAATACCTACTATCTAGTCAGTAAAATTTTGTGGTGTACTAGAACCAACACCCAACAACCAAAGATGTCATCTCTTCCCAACTCTACTGCTAGTGATACCATTTCAGTAGGTTGAAGTCAGCCATGGTGATCATATTTAGACCACGATGGATATCAGCAAACAGTTATTAAATTTTGGGAGAACCAGTTATTAAATTTTCACCCACACTCTACTGCTTAAATTACTTTATAAAAGGAACCTCCATGATTATAAATATAGTAGGAATGAACAGAATATCAAACAGTGACATGAAAGGAAACTTCGCTCTATCCTACTAAATATAGATGCCTGTGCTAGTGATTTCCTTGGTATAAAATTCTTGGAGCTACAAGAAAGGAAGAGGATCCTGTTCAATATAGGAAGCCATGGCTTATAATTTCAAGTGCAGACAACAGTTCAAAAAATTAATAAATTTACATATTTCCATTTGTCTATATGGTGCCATTAATAGAAACTTAAGGTGCACAGTGTAATGCAGGTTTTGAATGATTTAACTTCTTAAAAAAAAATCTCCATTTCATGTGTTACTATCTATGTCAAAGAAATACATCGAGGTGTTACTGTTATAATTAGCTAGTTATTACTAATAGAAAGAAGGAAGAGGTAGGCCTCCAGATGTTATAAGCATGGCCATCGGGGCAGCTTTACCAGGAAGCTGCAATTTCACACTCCCAGGGAACCACCAGTACATTTCATGCAAATAAATCACTGGGGGAAGGGACTGGACGAAGGGAAAGACCAGTGCATGCGCAGTGAAGTAGGGGTGATGTAGGGAAGGTGCCTGTCAGTCTACTCTGGGAACAGATCATTGGCTAGAGCCCTGCAAGTGGGCAAAAACGGGGGAATACATAATCCCCAGATAAAGGGATTCTCTCTCCTATTCCTTTGGCTTTGCTCCTGCTTTCTTGGACTCACACATGTTCCCTCCATGGCCCACGGCCATGCAGACCCCACACGCAATGGACTGCAGCTGGGAACACAAGGCAACCTAGCCTGATGCCGGGCTGGACTGTGCCAATACGGAGCAGAGACTCTGGGCAACTGCTTTAGTCCTGGCTCTGCTGAACATACAGCTGACGTCTTCCATGGTGGGATGGAGGGAGAAGGGACCTTGGAAGTCAGGGGTTTAATTCCATGCAAATAAATGCCACTCGTTTTCCCACGTGAGTCTCAGAAAAATCCTTTTCTCGTGACACTGCAAGAAGCCCATGTCCACCGGCCACAAGTGGGGACACAGAGGACACCTCACCAATAACAGAAACTCCTATTCCAAAACGTTGTCGCTGCACAACTTTAAGCCAGCGTAATGAATATGAAAACGAAATCGTACCAAGAAAGGGGACTTCCACAGCTCAAGCCTAAATTATCATTCTGGATTCCCGACTCCATCTATGTTAAAGCAATTCTCCAAGGTCAGCTGCAGACCAAACTTAGGAGGGAGACACGCAGAAAAGGGGAGCGATGTGGAGACAGTGAGTCGGTGGGTTACCGAGATGAACCCCGGAAACGTCTTCCTTTGATATGAAGCTCAGCTTGAGGCTGACTGCAGTTGTGATTAGATAACTACAAGACAGGCAGTAATGACGTTCTTGTAATGATAGCTGCCTCCACTCTGCCCTCTGAGAATGTTTTGAGTTATTTTAACTTCATGCACAATTGCATTTCCCACACTGGACGATGAGCTGGCTTCAGCAGTGACTCTCATCTCGGTGTATCCGTACAAGGTCTGAGTCTGGCTCTGTTAGGGCCCACCTGCCTGAAGAGCTCACACACATCGAGACTTCGCATGACATTCAAGTACAAACTCTAAAGCCGCTCAGCATAAATTAAGGCAAATATATTGCAAGAGGCAAAAACCACCTCGTTGAAATATTTTAGTTTTTAGCACTAGTTGTAAATAACCTTCAAACTTTCCAGTTTACCCTGGCATGCTGACTTACAAACCGCCTTCGGTACCCTGTGTCTGAGTCACTGTTTAAAGGTTCACTTACAGTTGGTCTCGTCAGAGTTGAGTAAAAGGAAGCTTCAACTTACTCCTCCACTCTTTTGGGGTTACATGCAACACAATGGATAGACAAGGAACTTTACTTCCTGTGAGTCTGGGGTGTTTATTTAGTCTTAAATACATAGTAAGTCATTTGTAAATGATCAATAATGTATACGTGATGGGGTAGGAAGGCTTGGCAAGGAAAATGAATACCGTGTTGGCTGACTGATCATCATCATAATCAAAACAGCAAGAAAGGAGCAGAAGCCGTCACATTCGGGGGTAATTGAAATTGTTTCAGAGGAGTGGGGAAAACCCTTAAGTAAAATGGGAGTTATCTGAAGCTGTGATTTGGCAGACATTGTAAAGTATTATTCCAGGGGTAATTTTTCAAGCAAAAACAAGACAGCCAGCGCACGCGTGCGTGTGTGCGTGTGTGACATTCTGACACCTTTTCATTGTTATGCTAACTGTACTGGCTCAGAGTTTAACTGAAAAGGACAAGTGC